GGTTTACATTTTCCTAATGACTAGTGATGTTGAACATGGTCAAAAGTTTTCAATTGGGAGGCACTTACCTTGTGGGAAAGTAGCATACTGGACGAACGGTATAGTGTGGTTACTGGGGAGGTCAGAATAGATGGGAAGCTCCATACAGTGGCTTGCTCCTGACATGGGAGGCATGATAGGCCTTAGTTGCAAGGGAGACAAGCTATGACACCTCTACTATGGCAACATTAGTGTGAATCTGCTGGAAGCCAGCCATTGGATTAACCCTTTACTGAACTTTCTGACACTTTCAGTTTTGGTCATCGAAGATGTGGAGACGCTAGTGCCTCTGAGTTCTCCTTGCCCCCAGGCAAGCTGGGCAGACCGCTGGATCTGGTAGCACCTTGCTTGAATGTTGGGGCCAGGTTTGGGACTATGTTCTGGAGTGGCATTTATGAATCTGCATGCACCAGAATCTCTGGGAGCTTTTGTATCTGCAGTGACCTTTGCCCAACACCTGGAGAGTCTGATGAGTGAATTGGGAGTGGGGCCTGGAACTGTTTTGTCAACAAGTGCCTTGACGATTCTATAGCCCAGATAGGATTGGGCATCTTGATTGGGAATGGGCAGGTGAGGGAGGACTTGGCCAGACACCAGGTGGAAGGGAGGAGCCTTCTGCTCAGATGGCTCTGCAGAGGTGACACTGAGGAAGCCTATGCCAAACTTCACGGTGACAAGGTCTGGTAACATGGCCCAGAGTTCTCTTTATTCAGCTTCGACTTCATATCTGAATGATGCAGAAAATGCACCCAAACACGTATGTCCAATTTTATGGTGCCAAGTTGAAATATTTTCTACATATAGAGAATTCAGGTTTTGCCACAGAGGTTCTCTTGTTTTTTTTTGTTTTGTTTTGTGTACTGGGGATTGAACCCAGGGTCTCACACATGCTAGGCAGGTGCTTAACCATTGAGCAATAGCCCCAGCCCTTTTAATTTTCTTTTGAGATAGGTTCTCACTAAATTGCCCAGGCTGGCTTTGAACTTGTGATCCTCCTGCCTCAGCCTCCTGAGTAGCTGGGAGTCCAGGTATGTGCCACCATGATGCCTGTTCTCCCTGGTTAGAGTTCCTCTTCTAAATGCAAATGATTCTTCAATTATATACATTATGGTCAGCTCCCACTTAGATTTTTGGATCCTTGCCATTGGCTTACTGGAAGCCCAACATATAACCTGGGTCATGACCTGGGTCAAAGCCACGGTTTTGTCACTTATGATATCTGTAACTATGTGTGTCTTAGCAAAAGGATCATCAGCTTCCATGGAGCATCTCTAACCATGGGAAGCTCAGCACCCCTAACTCCTCATGTCAGGTGCTACCCTGGTCATTATAACTGGCTTCCTCATGCATAGTATAAACTGATCTCCCTGCAACTCTTCCACCCAGGGAGGTAAGCCTTCCTTCCCATGTAAGTGACAATACTGTACAGCCATGAAGACATTCCATGCACCTCCCTGAAGTTTTCTATCCATGCTGAGTGGCCAGCAGCACTTATCTAAGTTCATTATATGGATGGAAAAATCACCTAGCTGACCTTGGAAGATGCAGGTTGAGATTCTGGGGGTCTTACCCAGCTTCCCGGTGAGGTGCGGGTGGCTGATTTAGGGACCACACTTAAAGAAGCACAGGCTAGGAGTTAGGAGCATCTACCTAGAAGTGAAAGAGGCTTGAGCCCCTGGTGTGGCCCCTCTGCTTGTGGTTGTATGACCATGGGCAGTTACATTCAGTCCCAGTGACTTGGTTTCTGTTACCATAAAATGAGGCCGATGAGAGCGCCTCTGATGGGTTTGTTGTGACTGAGACTAGGCTCAGTGCTCCTGGCTCAGGGCTGACATGTGGCACCCACTCCATAGTGTGAGATCATTTCTATCTGAACAGTCCGAGGATATTTGATGTTTCCCTTGAGGTACTTCACATTTATGTCTCCCAAGAGACACTTTGAAGGGCCCCTAAGTAATAGAAAGTGTCCAGGGCACTAAACAGAATATTTAGGTAACATCTACAGTTTCCATAAACATGTGTTCCTATTTCTCACCACCAACAAGTAGGGGTTTTCCTGGGACACAAAATGAGTGAAATACCATTTCAGAAGCAGAGATACATATTAATAAACATCTATACTGTGAGTCTACACTAGTTCAGCTCTTGTGCTGATTAGAAATGTTAATGAATAACTAGCCAACTCAGTATACTTTGATATGGTAAGATAATCTATTAGTACTTAATTGGTGTCATCTTTGACAGGCAAATTGAAGCTGGGGAAATTCTGATTTCTTCATGAACAGATGTACCATTTTATGTATCTTGACTTGGTACCACCTTCTAAAGGAGGTCTTTAGAGCAACCTTGTCAATTACTGAACACATGGGATGGTAATGGTCTTTAGCTCCCCAAATGCAGAGATCTCATCTTATTATAGTATCTTTAGCATCTATGGAAGTGCCTGGCACAGTGTTGGTTTGTAAAAAGGAGAGAGGGAGGAAAAGAGGAAGAGAGGAAGTCTGGCAGGAAGGCAGGATGGTAAGAAGGAGGGAAGGAAAGGAAAAAGGAATAAGGAAGGTAGGTAGGAAGCAGGCATAAATGCTCCCCCACCACCCTCTGGGACAAACTGAAAGAGGAGAATATCACTGGCATGTGAGTTGGCCTTCACTGGGTAGTGACTTTTACCTTTTTCCTCTGGGGCATTACCTGGATTTAGGAACATGGATGTTTTGCTGTGAGCAAGTGAGGGCTGGCTTGCTGGGACCAGGAATCCAAAGCATTCCTACTACCTGATGTGAGTGGATGCTGAAATCTGCCACAGCCCTGCTCCTCTTTTGCATCCACAAGGGCAAAGAAGACTAGAAAGCTGACATTGATCTCCAAACAGCTGTCCTTAAGTGTCTGCCTCTATAGATAGCCCTGCCAATATTGCCTTTCAGACTGAAAGTGACTGCCTTCCCCAAAATAAATTCCCAAAGTATTTTTCCTTGTAGGGATGAAGTTCTTATAACTATGGTTCCTATTGAAATGAGAGCCTCTTCTTTGGCTAGGCAATTATTTTCCTGGAGCCCTGAGAATTTTTTTTTTTTTTTTTAGATTCGAGATCCTAATTTTTAAATTACTTATTAGTTTTCACCTAGTAAGATGAAAACACAGTTGAGAAGACTCTCAAGGTGATTTGCTGGTAGCATCCAAACAACTTCATTCTTGTTGCTTGCATCTCGGTAAATGACTGATGGGAACCAAATCTATGGGACAGTGACCTGCACTTCAAGCTGGTTGTCTGGATGCCTGACCAGGTGTAGTGAAACTTAGAGGCATCAGGCTGTGGGGGAGTATTTTCATAATGAAATTCAGGCGTGGCCACACTGTCTGGGAAAACAGATATAAAACCCTGAACCCAATCACAACCCAAAATATTGCTCAAAATCCCTCTATTTGAGTGATTCTGATCCATGCATCTGATCCTCATCCTCCCAGTGTGGAAATGACACCTCTGTGAATAGAAACAGGATGGTGCAGTTTGCATGGTCCCCTAGGACTTATGGAGCACAATCCTGACAGCTGTTGGGGTTTTTAAACAAGGAGGGAGGTGCTTGTAAGCCCTTATCTTTTCCCAGAACAAGAATTAAGAGGCTTTAGCAGAGCTTCCACATAGAAGTCCAGGAAGACATGCCTACTTTGTTACCCAGCACTACTGCCTACAGAGCTGGGGGGTGCCTTCACTAAGACCCTCAAAACCTCACAAGTGCAGGTGGTTATCACTCAGCTCCCTCAAGTTGATTCAAATACTTTTCAGATACTTTCTTCCAAATCCCCAAAGACCAGGGACTTAGGAAACATACAGTCTCCTTTGGAATGCAGGGCACAGGGACAGATCACAAAATTAGGGCAGCTGGGACTTGCCTTAGTTTCCTTTGGCCATTCTAGTGTGATGAAATCACCTCCAGATTCAGCAATGGCAAAGGCAGGTCCACAGACTGAAGGAAGTTCCACAGCACATCCCCATGATCCATTTTCTACCTGAGGATGACTTAGAAGACCCCTGTCCCCCACACTCACTAGGTACCTGTTGGGAAGTGTAGCAGGCTTGGCCCAAAAATGCATGGACAGATGTTGAAGAAATAAGGTGGCTTCTGGGGCTACAATAGACACTGGAAGCAGCTCTCTTCAAACATAAGGATCTTGTGTGGTCCATGGCTGCCATGGAAGACTCCATGGAAGGCCTGGAGGGTACAGGCTCTTTACTTGTTAGCCCAGACCACCCATCCACAGAAGAAAGACAAGGAGACCAGAGACAGAACCACATTGGCAAACATTTCACTTTTTAAATAGTAGCCTTTTCCTTATCAGAAAATGACTTCCAGAGGCAAGTTTCTTTGGATGAAGAAAACCCATTCCATGCCAATAATCATTTCCGCAAGGTTGCCTTGGGACAGTCCTCAGCCTGTTCCACCTGGGGTGACCTGGAACCTGGCCATTGTGTGTCATGCCTGACCTTGAGCAGTGGGCGGTGGGCAGTCTGCTGGGGTGCTTCCTGCTCCCAGCAGGGATCAGCATTTTTTCTTTGGGGGGGTGGTCACCAAGCAGGCCCACCCTTGAGAAGGAGAGAGTGGTGCAGGAGCCCATCAGCTGTTGGGGGACAGCATCCTGTGCCACCCTGATTCCGGGCCACAGAATGGCAGGGATGACCAGGAAAAGAGGAAAGGAGTGGGAAGATCTGAAAAGGTGTGTGGAGGAGAGGGGACCTGGTCATGCCAGCAGTGACCCTCTCTCAGAGGTACCACAAGGGAGCATTTCACATGGGGTTCTTGGGATCTCTACTTCCTTTGGGGCTTTAGAAGGGCTATAAGTGAAAGTGTGTGTGTGTGTGTGTGTGTGTGTGTGTGTGTGTGTGTTTGCCTGTTGGGAGAATGGATGTAAGCTCTTTTGTTTTTTGGGGAGGAGGGGTGAGAGTGGGGGTCCCTCTGATGCAATTCTCAAGAAATGCCTTCAGTGGCAAAGTCTTCCAGGTCGTCAGTGGAGATGATGCCCAGGCCTGGAGCTTCTGCGCCCTCCTCCTCTGGGCTCCGGGGCGGTCCCCGGGGGCGCTGGGCACCAGCATGCTGAGTGGAGTCGCCCTGAGGCCCAGGGATCTGTTGTAGTCCAGCCTCGTGGGCACTCTGGGGCCTGGCGCGGGGGCCTTGCCTGAGGAAGGTGGGGGCAGACAGCTGGGAGGAGCAGCGTAGAGGCATCAGGGCGGTCACTGGCACTGGCCGGAAGCCAGGGTACAGCAGGTAGGGAGCAGCCAGGGCATCCTGTAGGGGCGGCTCAGGGGAGGTCCCCTCAGAGGATGGGACGGAGACCTTAACGTACTTGCCAGTCTCTGGGTCGTAGAAGGTCTTGATTTTCACCTGGAGTGGCAAGTCGAAGACGAAGTATTCTCCAGACTGGGGATCCTGAAGGACCTTCTGGGTGGCGGGGTAAGCGGGCAGGGGCGTGAGGGGCTGGGGCCCCCAAGGCCGCCTCCCCACAGGCTCAGAGACCCCGGATACTGAGTGGCGATGCGCGGGAGGAGGCAAGGAGCGGACCACAGGGAACCTGGCGCGGGACCTCTCTCCAGGTGACAGCGGCCTTCGCTCGGTCCGCTGTGAGTCCTCTGCGCAGGGTTTCCCCTCCCAGAACTCGCTATGCTTCTCCTGCACCAGGTCGGTCTTTCTCCTCTTGCTTGCTAGTTTCTTGGCCCGTCGCAGGGCCTTCTCCGTTTTGGGTGGGACTGCCGGTGGCTTGCCGGCGGCCCTCTCCAGCTGAGCAGGTGGCTCTGGTTTCTCAAGAGGGGCTGCTGAGCTGGTGGCCACGTCCAGCAGTGCACCTCGTGGAGAGATGGTCCGGAGGTCTTCCGCCCCCGGCTCGAGTTGGGGGTCGGAGCTGTCCTCCCACACGAGGCCGTGCGTCAGGTCCTCCCGCCGAGTAAGCCTGGCAGGACCCGGGCTCGCCCAGGGGCTGGCCCGGGGAGGCTCCCCCGGAGGACCCAGTTCCTCAGGAGCCTGGGAAACATCATCCCAAACACTGCTGGTGGCCGGGGAGCACGCGCTGCTCTCTCCCAGGGAGCTGGGATTGGGGGAAGTTGCCATCTCACCAGGGACCGTTCTTCTCCCAGGGGGCCCTGCTCTGGGGGCAGACAAAAAGTGACTTTGGAAGCCTTGTCTCTGTTCCTGCTCTTCCCAACAAGTGCCAAGTGACTGCAGGGGGCGCTCGTCTTCTAAATCGTCCTCAGGTAGAGCAATCCTGGGGATATCGGGTGGAGCAACCAGCTTCCCTGAGGCTGTGGGCCTGCTCTTGCCATCGCTTGTCATGATTTCATGTGCTGCTTCTGGGGGTGGCCTCATCCTGTCCCCCTCTCCCACCGGTGATGGAGATGGGAAATTCCCCTTCAGGGCTGGTTGGGAGTTATCTATCCTGGCTGCACTGAATACCTGCCCAGGGTCTTTTAGGCCTTCACAGGCCATGTGCTTCAAGTGAGTGCCCTGCATATTAGTGGATGTCAGGGTGCTGGGCATTTCCTGGCTTTCATGGGCACAGAGACCAGCAGCATCTTCACCCCACTCTTGCCTTGGTAATTCTTCTTCTTTGTAGCTACTGCCAAGTGAGTCCTCTGAGGACACAGTCCGCAGAAGAGGCAGAATGATAGGTTTGATCACAGGGGTGGCCCTAAGGGTGTTGTCTTTAATCGAAAACAGTTTGTGCTTGTTTGTAGCAGAAGATGGAGAGGGGGTGGAGTCTTTGGCATGTGAAAGGGCCATGTCCTTATTTCCCCCAATCCAAGAGCCTCTGAAATTTCCTTCCTCCATCGATGCCTTCCTGGGTCTCCCTCCACACAGACCTTCCTCTTCTCTCTGCAGTGCTTCCCCCTGACTGTGCTCCTCCATGAACACGTGTCCGTTTCTTAAAGCACAGTGCTGTAGCTCATCTTTCCCCATCACCTTTTCCTTCTCTTCCTTCTCACTGTCACCTGCACTCACATCTTTCTTCCTGTCTTCCCGCTGGCTCTCAGTAAACCACGACTTCTGCTGATCATCAAACGAGGCAAAGGATTGATCTGAAGAGCTGGTGCTGAATTTGGCCTTACTTTGGAGGCTTGGCATAAAATCGGACTGGGTGTCGCTGTAAAACACATCCTCCTCCTCGGGGGAGAGGGGCCCTGGGGAGAATTTCTGGTTCAGGAGTGGGTTCTGAAGTCTTAGGTCTCTCTCTGGCTCTGTCTCTTGGGAGATGGATCTTGAGAGCCTGTTCTCCAGCTGATGGCTCTTGGTTTGCTCTGCAGCCTGTCCGGCCTCAAGCTCCCTATTACAAAGTTTCAAGGAGAGGTGCTTCCTGGGGTGGCGTTCCCTGGAGTCTGGACTCCAACCTGGCCTGGTGGGACACAGCTCTGCCTCTCCGTTGGCATCTTCCTTCCCATCACTGCTCCTTTCTACAGCCTCCCCATTGACACAGAGGGCTTTGGTGACAGTTGGAGGTGAGCTGAGGGTGAGGTGATTGTCTGCAGAGGGCTCACTGGGGTCTGTGGTAGGGTCCTTCTGGGTACCGCTATGTGATGCACCAGGGACATTGGCTGGTCTCTCCTTAGAAAGTTCACTAGGAGGGCTTTCTTCAAGCCCATTGGAGAGGATGACCCCATTGCTCACAGGTTCTTGCTTGCCATCAGTCTTAATTCTGGTTTTCTCATCGAAGCCTTTCAAGAGAGGTGAGGGACTGTATGTACTCTTAACACGCTTCCGCACATCCTTGAGGTTGAACAACAGACTGGGTGCTTTGGATTTGTAGCTGTCTCTTGACTGACATTCACTGGGCTCCTTCTCCTGGTATCCGTTCAGCTGTCCTGTGGGGGATGGGCTTATCTCCCCTGACTGGGTGTCTGATGATTCCAGGACATGCTTGGTGGGTATAATGGGGGTCAGGAGCTTACTGATATTAAAAGGAGGACTGTAATGCTCATTAGGGTCCCCAGGCATGTCCAGAGCCTCATCTTCTGGAAATTGCCCCTGGAGGTTGTGCTTTGAATGCAGAGGCGGGCCTCTCCTGTTGGTCTGTTTCTTTTCTTCCAAAGTGTCTTGAAGACTTTCTTTACCTCCTTTGCCAGTTTTTGGTTTCCTCCATGGAGGCTGGGTTGACTTCAGCTGAGGGTCAGGCTGTGAGCTGGAAGCTTTTCCCTCTGCAGGGAATACTGGGGGTCCTGGATCTCTGCAGCCCCAGGGTCCAGATGTGGACAGAGCCCCTGCTGCTAATCTGCTTTCTTCCTGAGTGCAGCTGGCCCGAACAGGGCAGGGAGAGACTTTGTGCTCAGGGGGATAAGGTTCTCTTGACAAGGGCGTTTCCTCATAATGTTTGGGAACTTTGCTTTCTGGGATGGTTTCTGCGATGTCCTTTCTCTCGAGCAGCTTTGGTTGGTGGGCGTTCCATGACTCAAAAGCACTGTTTTCACTGTGCAGAAAAGTCCCTTTGTGAGCCCACTCCTTGCCTCTTACGGGTTCGGCCTTGGCTGGCTTGTGGGGTGGAGAGGGGAATCTTGACTCAAATGAGCTGGCTGAGTTGTCAGGTTTGGGGAGGAAGCTGCCGGAGCCATGACAGGCCATTTCAGGATTCTTAGGCGACTCTTGTTCTCCGTGGTTCCTTCCAGGCTGGAGGCTGTTCTGATGGGCGTTGGAGACTTCAGCAGGAACCCTCCTGACAGTCAGAAAAGCAGAATCAAAGCAGAAGTTGACACCACTGTCTGGAAGAGGGGCAAACTTGGAAGGATTTTTGAGAGCTGGAGGCTTGCTGGTGGGAGGTCTGCTATCACAATGTTGGCTCTCAGTCCTATCGAAAGACTTGATTAGCGATGATACTTTGGAAACAGGCTTGTTGCTGCTCCTCAAGCCAGAAACTGGCATCTCCAGTCTCCTCTGGGATGGTGTTGGTGGGGGGCTGCTTTTGGGGTACTTTTCCTCTCCTTGAACATACTTGGGTAGCTGTTGGAAGGTGGCTGCCCAGCCTGCATGCTCGGTACCTTGTGACGGAAGCTGGCTCCAAATGCCACTTTTTCTGTGGGTGTGACTCACTGTTCCCTGGTGGAAAGTCCCAAACACCTGATGGGTGATATCTGGGGACAGATTGGAATCATGGAAGGATGCATCCTCTGAGATGCACAAGCTCCGGAACGCCCGGTCTGTGAGGTTGCTTACCTCCCTGTCTGCATCATCCAACACGCTACCGATGCTGGAGGAGTCGCTGAATCCATCTGTGCACTTCTTGTTCCCCTGCATTGTCTGTTGGCTCTAGGAAGATTGTCTCTGCCAGCTGGTGGGTGCCTTTGGGTGATGATTCTGGCAAGGAGTAGGTGCAGACCACTTCCCACAAAATTAGAGCTTCTTGTTGACCAGTTACAATTACAAAGTGGGGATTATTTTTCTCTGCAGAAGAAAGAAGCGCATGGTATGAACAGGACATCCTGCTTAATAGCTTTGGACAAGAACTACATTCTGTGATGGTTAATTTTATATGTCAACATGGCTAGTCCATTGCACATAGTTTTTGTTAAAAACCAGTCTAGATGTTGCTAGGATAGTATTTTTTAGATGTGATTAACATTAAAGTCAATAGACTCTGGGTAAAGCAGATTATCCTCCATAATGCAGGTGAGCCTCATCTTTGAAAGACTTAAGAGAGAAAAATGACTGAGAGATCCCAGGGAATGAAAGCAAAAATGGAAAAGTGGGATCAAATAAAACTTTTGTGTAGCAAAGAAAACAGCAAAATGAAAAGGCAAGCTGTGGAATGGGAGGAAATATTTATGAGCTATACATCTGATAAAGGATTAATATCCAAAATACACAAAGAATTCCTTCAACTCAATAGTAAAAATAATATAAAAAAACAAGAACAAATGATCTGATCAAGAAATTGATAAATGAACTGAATAGATATTTCTCAAAACAAACAAACAAGCAAACAAACTACAAGTAGCCAACAGGTATAGGAAAATGTGCTCAAGATCATTAATCATTGGAGATATGTGAATTAAAATCATGATGAGATATAACCTCATGGCACAGACTCCCATGCAGCTGGCATGGCTAGAGTATGTAGTTCTGGCCACAGGGATGGAAACAGCCAGATGTCTGGGAAATGTCCCTATCTTTCTGATCAAAGGAACAAACCCTGTTGGTTCCCATTCTTCCTTCTTTGAATGTAGACAGGAAGCCTGAAACTGTGTATTTGCTATGATGCCCTAACAAAGTATCATATTCTGATGCTTAAAAAATAGAAATACAGGTTATGGCCTAGTGGTAGAATGCTGCCTTGCACGTGCGAGGCCCTGAGTTTGATCCTCAGCACCACATATAAATAAATAAATAAATAAAATAAAGTTATTGTGTCCAACTACAACTACAAAAATATTTTAAAAAAATAGAAATACATTGTCTCTCAGTTTTGGAAAATGGAGGTCCAAAATTGATGTGTCAGCAGGTTTGGTTCCTTCTGAGGGCTGACCTCCTTTGTTGGTACTTAGATGCTGTCCTCTTCCTGTGTCTGTTAACATTCCCTCCATGCTTGTCTCTGTGTCCCAATTTCCCTTTTTATGAGGACATCAGCCAAACTTGATTTGTACCTTAGTACCCTTCCCAATGTCCTCATCTTATCTAATTATATCAGTAATAGCTCTATTTCCATATGAAGTATTGGAGGTTGGAACTTCAGCATATGAATTTTTTTTTGGGGGGGTGCCATTCAACCATAACATGAGGCATTCACTTTGCAACCCTGAAGGACAACCCATGACCACCAAAGTCCAACTTGCTGAGGATGGCAGTTGAGAAGCCCCAGGTCCTCAGTAGTACTGCAGAGTGACAAACACACTCTGAGGTTTGTGTTATCAGGGTTGAGAGGAAACTTAATGGTTGCTACCATAAATCAGGTTTTCTGCTCCTTGAGATCCTGTTAATACAGTCAGGGAGTCTCCTGGTATCCTGAATGCTGGGACTTTGGTAATGATAAATGATGGACTCAGTAATACTGGTGTTCCTACACTTCTACATTAAGATGGAAATAAGATAGTTGCAGATAAATCTAGCATCTTAGAGTTAAGTAAATGGTCCCTAGCTAATCACATGCCCCTTACTATTATATTAACAGGAACTCTTTGTATTTTTTGAACACTCAGCTTCTATTCCTCTCTGAGTAAAAACACTTGATATCTTTTGGGGCATTTCTTCTCCCTGCCACTATGTTTAGACTTGGGGTATGAAAGTCAAGGAGCTGCCAGGGCTCCCCATGTGGATGTGATACTCAGGGCAGGGCCCTGTGTTGTCCATTTCTTTGGGAGTCATGCAAGGATGGAAATGGGCTTGGGCATTCTTCTCTGCAGTGGAGCTTTCAGTATGCACTGGGGCTGCCTGGTCCCTCACCTTTCCTCCCCTTTGCCTGTGGTCAAAGAACTCTAACTGATCTTGGATTTACATTGTAATTCCAAATAGTGGTGAAGGATGTTCACTGATAGAGCATTCAGAAAATAACCACCTTACTTCTGCCTCAGCAATAAGAGAGATGCCTTCCCTCCCAGTGTCTTCAGGTAATTTTGCCAATTCTGATTTGGAATACCTGGAGTCATATGAGACTGTCATAATGTTGGCCTCATTCTCTCACTACACATTGGTACCCTTCAGCACAGTGGCCAACTACAGAAAGTGTTTCTGGTGTCACAGAAAGTGTTTTCCTGGCTTTTGGGTTCGTTCCATATTGCTTTGGTTTGGATCGGAAATATTCTCCAAAGGCCCATGTGTTAAAGTCATAGTCCTTGGCTTGACACAATTGGGAGGTGGTAGAAACTTTAAGAGGGGGGTGCTAATGAGAGGTTAGGTCATTGGGTATGTGCCCTTAAAGAGGATATTGGGATCCTGGTCCCTCCTCTTCCTTTCTCCTTTCGCACAGGAGGATGATTATCCTCCTCTGCTATGTGCTCCCACCACAATGTGCTGCTTTGCCACAGAACAAAAGCAATGGGGCCCGACCTACCACAGACTAAAACATCTCAAATGGTGAGCCAAGATAAACTTTTCATCTTTTAAAGTTCATCGTCTTAGGTATTTCTTACAGTAAGAGAACACACATACCTGTTACATTAGTGGGGGCTGTGGGTGCCTGCCTTGCTGCGTTTTAGGATCTGTAGTTTTAAAACTTCTTTTTAAGCTTATATTTGGTGTCATCACTGCCCATCTAGAAAGAGGAGGAAAAATAATTTTAGTGGAACCCAATTGACCAGAGGCCAATAACATGCTCAGTGGGAAAGCTATCTTTAAATGTCAGTAATATAGCTGGCAGTTGGCCTTCAATCTCTTCTTTGTTTGTTTGTTTGTTTGTTTTAAATTCATATTTGAACCCAACAAAATTCCAAACATAGGCTTTTTTTTTGCAAAAATCGTAACACAAATTTAATTTATTTCTTCTAATATTGATGAGCTTGTTGATGGCCCAAGAAATTTTCAGAAACGGTTTTAAACCTCTGGGATTTCTAATATATTTGACCCAGTTGTGATTTTTTTTTTTTTGCTAGTAAAATCTGAGCAAAGGCCCTTTTCCCACTGAATGAATAACTTAGGTTTTACAGGAAATAGAAACTAGAGTGGCCAAACTCAAGTCCACTCAGCCAGCAGCAGCATGTTGTTCGATTTATTGTTGGCAGGAGGCTTGAATATCTATTTTGACAGCTAAAAGAACCAAAAAGCTGCCCAGGAGAATTTTCAGAGTGCTCAGGATGAAGTGTAAACTAATTAAAATAAACTCACTATGCAAATGTTAAATGCAGACCCTTGGGGCTTTCACAAGACCTTCCCTAGACTGTAGCTCCTGGATATTAATCTAGTCTAAGATAGTTTATTAATAATATTAATAATCATAATAACTCAAATTTGGGGAGTATGTTTCTTTAGAGAATTACAGAGGTGCTATGCTTCTGCCACCATACGGTGAGGCCCCATCCTGACTCCCCAGACTGGCTTGGATGGGCTCCTTCCTGTCCCCACATCATACTGGGGCTACCTTTCCCATAGCTCATGCTGTATTGAACCCATATGCTTTAGAAATTGATGATTGCTTCTTTTTCTCCTCAACTAGAAAGTTTCTTGAATCCTGGACGAGGGTCTTACATGTCTTTGTATGCTAAGCATATCAACATAGAAGCTCCATATTTGTGGCAATGCTCTGAATTGGCTATCTTAATTCTGATTAGTGTTTCCTGGATGGAAAATGGAGGCACAGGAAACAAAGGAGCAAGATAATGGAAATTTTAATGAAAAAGACCATGACCTTGGATCTTAAGGCCATTTGTAAAATTCAGATTGACACGTTTGCACACTGAGATATGACTGAAGAAGAAGGATAATTGTACAATTTGTGTCACATTTGGACACATTTCCACAGGAGTGGAATGATGTGGTAGTTATATTATGGACATTCAGCGTACCTATTGCTTTGTGCTTGGGCTCTCCCCTGTCCTGCTCACTACTTTGAGCTATTTGAAGGAAGCCAACCTGAGTTGGTGAAATAGTGGCTTACAGAGCCCTTTGCAGGTAGGAGGGTGTGAGTACCTTCAGATGACGTGAGTGAGGATAAGCTGAATAGGGCTGAGTCATGTTAGAAACAAGGTCTTGAAATCTGATCCAATGATCACGCAGAAACAAAAGTAAATACTTAATCACAAGCATGATAAATTCCTTATGTGTGTCTATGGCTTTCAAAAGCAGTTTTCTTCTCAACTCCTGTCCCACTCTTACCTTCATTATTTACTTAACCCTCCTTGCTCTGCTTGGTACCACTCATCATCACCCCTCTGCTTGGCCCAGATGAGTCTTCCAATGACTCATGTTTGCTGAATGACTTCTCGATTGCAGTCAAGACTATTGGGCACTGTCCTCTTGTGAGGGACCTTGACTCTTTACTTCTCCCTCCCTGTCTGGCTGGTCAGCCTCTTGTCTTCCTCTCCCTGATGGTTGGGTTTCCTTGGCTCCCAGCACTCAGGCTTCTCTTCCTGCTCTGTAGTGTGGACATGGATGATCTCACCCACAGCTGGTCTTAGCAGACACATCCACACACTGATTTTGCACCCAGGCCACTTGTCTGGCGCCATCCACATCTCCAACTGCCCAGTGGACAGCTCTCTGCCTGTGTCTTCTAGGCCTTCATACTCCCATCAGCCTGTTCTCTCTCTGGAGATCTCACAAATCTGAGAATCTCCTACAACTTCTCCCTTTCTCTTCTCCCTGAGCCT